TAGGTACAAGTTCTCAGCGGTGAGCTCAGAAAGGTTTTGTCGGAGAAGGGGATGATCCCGAAACCGAAACTGGAGGACCGGCTTCGGGAATTGATCAACTCTTCAAAGGTGATGCTTTTCATGAAGGGCAGTCCGGAGTCGCCCAGATGTGGATTCAGCTCGAAAGTGGTGAATGCACTGAGAGAGGAAGGGGTGAGTTTCGGGTCGTTCGATATCCTAACAGACGGGGAAGTGAGGGAAGGGTTGAAGAGGTTATCGGACTGGCCGACGTTTCCGCAGCTTTATCACGAGGGCGAGCTGATTGGTGGGTGTGATATAGTTATGGAGATGAAGAACAGTGGCAGCCTTAAATCTACTCTAACTGGATAGTCTTATTTTTGTTGTTGGGCATTGGTTTATGGTTCTTGTCTTGAATCCAATAAAGATGGGAGATGTTAGTTATCCCACTTTGGGACACATGTGGTCTGAATGATACATGCAAGGGCAAGTAGAGGAACTTTCATTACCCGAGTCATCTCAAATTTAACGAATGCTGTTTCGAATAGGAATCGATCTATTTAGAATCAAATGATACTATACAACGAGTTGCTGTGGTGTAGTGGTTATCACGTTAGTCTTACACACTAAAGGTCCCCAGTTCGATCCTGGGCAGTAACATAACCTTTTTTATTGATTTTTTTTTGTTGTCAAATATTTCTCAAGTATGATCCTTTCGCAGCAATTCAAAAATTAAAGCCAACACCCAAAAAATAATGGTAATTTTCCCTTTTTTTTTCTTCTAAAAAAATCATACTCGTCTCGATTCTTTTGATTCTACGTTTGGGAAAGAAAAATAAAAATGAAAAAATATGTTACCAGTGAGCTACAAAAGAAAACCATACAAAGTTGCCTCATCAAACCTTGAGGAATATAAATCAGGAATCAAGCTCCACCTTTCTTCCCCTGCTCTTTCACGGATTTCAAATCTTTCGTAAGCATCCTCGGCGCTATCGCCATCGACATAAGTTCCTGAAACAGCAGCTTGCATGCATATGGAATATGCACCTGCAAACAAACGAAAAAACCCATTTTCATTATAGCTGCTTTCTCACACACGCATATATACACATGGAAGAGAGTAAATGACACGAGAGAATTTACCTGAACAATATCTGTCTTGTTCTTGCAACCTCTACATTCGAACGAGTTCTTCTTCAGATTTGCAAGGGCGATGAGTCCACAGCACTCACAGACATGCACCCTGTACGCATCGCTCTGGTCAAACAACCTCTCCTTCAAGAAATGAGCTGCGCCATGTGCTATCATGCAGTCACGTTCCATTTCTCCGAAACGCAGACCGCCGTCACGTGACCTTCCCTCCGCCGGTTGCCTCGTGAGGATCTGGACCGGACCTCGCCCACGCGAGTGAATCTTGTCGTCAACCATGTGCTTCAGCCTCTGGTAATATGTCGGTCCGAGGAATATCATAGCTGTGAGCGGTCTTCCTGTGTGGCCATTGTACATCCTCTCGAATCCACGCTGTTGGTACCCACATTTATGCAGAGCTCTGCTTATGTTCTCCACCTACGACACAAAACCCGTCATCACAGCTAAGAAACGGTAACAGATTATCGATACTTTTAACGCCGTTATGAAACAAGCTTACAGTGACATCTGTAAAAGGAGTAGCATCTCCTTCCTTGCCCATGTGAGCCGCCACCTTGCCCATGATACACTCGATAAGCTGCCCGATTGTCATACGAGACGGGATGGCATGTGGGTTCACGATAATGTCGGGAGTGATGCCCTCGGCCGTCCATGGCATATCCTCTTGAGTGTAGGTCATGCCGACTGTTCCCTTCTGACCGTGTCTACTGCTGAACTTGTCACCAATCTGAGGAATTCTAACAGATCTTACCCTAACTTTCACAAATCGCAAACCATCCGCATTTGTCGTCAATAACACCTACACAAATTTCAGACATCCAGCTTATAAAACAAGGGAAATTTTCCTAAAAGAAGATGATAACTGAGCTGCAACAAATCCTAGGAGCTATTTACCTGATCCACTATGCCAGTTTCACTATGACGCAAGCTTATGCTGTGATCCCGTCTTGTGTAACGTGAAGCCTGCCCCTGAGCCTCTTCTTGAGATAACGGAGTAGTCTTTCCAATAATTACGTCTTCACCCGAAACTCTTGTACCCTAAATCAAAAGAGTAACATCATTGAGCTTTTCTGAATTACTTAGTTACACTGTACACAACCAAATACAAACAAGATACCGTCTACTTACAGGAGGAGCAAGACCATCATCGTCTAACTTATCGTAAGAGCCATGCCGCATTCCCTGTAGCAGAAACCTTAAGTATGATATCCCACATCCAAAAACACAGTACATACATAACATAACCCAAGTAGAATCATATCTCACCATGGTATTAGCTCTATCAGGCCGCCCAAAGTCTTCTTTGACAAGTGTTCCCATCTTTTTCTCCTCATCTCTGCCAGAGACGAAGATTGAAGTGAATGAATGGAAAGAAAATGATTAAGAAAAATCCACAACAGATTGTTTGCTAGTTACCAATGAACATAAACAGAACATCATATACAACTGCACTAGTGAAGATACGAAAGAAGAAATCAACTTGATGGCATGCTCACCTGTATGAACGGAAGAACAGAGATCGGAAGAAGCCACGATCTATTGAAGATTGGTTCATAATGACGGAATCTTCTTGGTTGTAACCAGAGTAGCATGAAATGGCAACAATAGCATTCTGCAGGATGATGACAACAGAAAACAAATAGAATTAGAGATTTTCAGAAAAGATCCAGAGCTGAATAATGGCAAGTCTACCGAAAAACACTCACAATGCCAGCTGGAAGCTGCCTAAAGTGAAGGTGCTCCATAGCCCTTGTAGTAACAAGAGGCTTCTGAGGGTAATAGAGAACGTAGGCCAGAGTATCCTAGGAAGCAAATCAAAATAGCAGTATCAGACATTTAAGCATGATGTCTATAACTATAAGATGGAAAGAACACAAGAATGTGAAAGGTATAAAAACGTTATCAGGAGTCTTTAGTGTACCATGCGAAATTGGTAGTTGGTGACATATATGCCCATCGCTTGCTTACCCATGGCAGATTGGTATGTGTTACGAGGCGACTGATGAAACAAAATATAGAAGTTAGCTTGACTTGAAATTTTTGTCACAAAATTGCTTCTGAAAGAAAAGACCATTGAATAGAAAGATACCTGATTATGGTCAGGAAAAGGAATAATTGAAGCACATACACCCAATATCAAAGATGGGTGAATCTCACAATGTGTATAAGTATCAGAATAAGCATCCTCAGGGCGCAATCTAGCTTGCACCAGATCCTACAATAAAATTTAGCAATGAAATTTCCAAATAAACCAATGCACAAGTGGTTCATTTTCTCAAGACACATTCGACATCACAAGCTGCATCGCTCACATTGATAGTCATCGAAATCATCGTCGTCTCTTCTTCCTCTGTATCTATATATTCTATGAAACCCTTTGCTACCAGGTCATGCCAGCCACCTTCTTCAGAGCTTTCCTGATGTCAGAACGAAAGGATTACTATAGTCAGATAAAGAGAGCAAGAAGCTCGAGAACAGTAAGGAACAATATAACGGTACCCTTTGTTGCAAAGCATAGATATCCTTCTTCTTTATTAGAAGCGCCTGATTCTCCACAATGAATAATGGACGACTACAACGACCGTAGTCGGTATAGATCCGAAGCTCCTTGAGACGAATATCTCTAACAACACCGACTTCAGTGTTTACATCGACCTGCATGAGCAAAGAGAAAAATGTCACTTCATTATAATTTGCATATCATTTTCCAAAACACAGTAAAATAGAGAAAAGGTATACGTATACTAACCCGTCTTCTCAAACGTCTCAAGGTTTTTACTAACATGTCAGGATCTCGATGGATTCCAACCCAACATCCGTTGACGAAAATTTTGGTTGCTTGGGGGATAACGGCTGGAGAGATTTCCTAGAATCAAGAAAGTATTAAGTAAACCGCAGGCAAGGAACTGTCATAAAATGAGAATGAAAACTACAAGCGGAGTGCTACAGACCTCAAAATTCTCAGTACCCCATTCTTCCAAAAATTCCAATATGGGATAGGCAGCTGACCCGACTGTTATATAGACCATGAGTGCCAAGTTTTTCACTAGACCACAAGCCTGAAATAGCAAATTCATGATTTCCGATGAGCTAAATAAAACCCATGAATAATCCTTGAATGTGACAAATGTACCTGTCCTTCAGGCGTTTCAGCGGGACACATCATTCCCCACTGTGAGTTGTGTAGTTGGCGCGGTTTTGCCAATTTTCCTGGGAAATGAGCACAATCAGATTCAGGAAAGGGAAAAAGAAAAAAACAGTAGTTACAAACTAATATAGCTAGTGAGACAGCAGATACCAAGAAAGAGATCCATGTCTTAAAGCCGCCAATTACTTAACAGATAAAAGAGTAAGAAACAAAAGAAAAGACAGTGGTGAGGCTTCACCTTCACGCCCTATAGGAGAATTCAACCGCCTCAAGTGCGACAAAGTGGAAGCATATGTTAATCGATTTAACACCTGTTAACAATTAAAGTTTTAAAATAGAACCCCACATTGTGCAAATAAAGCAACAAAGAAATATTCAAATATATATCTCTAATAACACATGGACTGATAAACAGGAGAAACAAAGAAACATTCAAAACCTGAGAGACTCCAGCTCTAGTACCAGCAGCATTTGCCTGCCCCCAATTCCCAGTAGCAAGAGAATATTTGAGGCCGGATGTAACAGTCTTAGCTTTAATAGCAAATTGCAGATTGACATCCTTTCCATTGTCCACACACTGTTTAACACATGGTTAAGAGTTCCCAATATAAAAATAACATATAAAAAAATTTAAAGAGTCTAGCTAAGAGACAGATAGTTGGCCAAAAACCTTCTGTACATAAGATCTCACATCCCTTGTCAGCTTTCTGAAAAGCTGCATGCATATAAAAAACAGTGAAACATTAAGAGACAGTTACAGGCAATTGTTTAAGTTTTCACAAATTACAAATGGAATGACAGAAGCTCCAAAGAAAATCAAGAAACTTCTTTTGCTGGTTTCCCATCATACATTTGAGCATATATACCTAGAAAGACAAGATAGTCTGGACTTCCAACTGAACATCAACGATGTGTGACCTCATACACTGAGACTTTCACATAGGTACAAGTTCTCTTAACTATAAGAGGGTATTCCTAATTCTTTTCATTAAGCTTATGTTAGTTGAGAACAAATCATTTTTGTACAGAAAGGGCTACACCTACGCATCCTATCCTGAGACTTATACAGTCATCCCCGAAAAAACAGCTGGTGACGAACCATTCTAAACAGGCCTCCAAGTAAAGGACCGGCAAGATCCAGCCTTTTGTTGCCATAATGATCCCTGTCATCTTCTGGCCTCCGGCCAATAGCGCAAAGCAGCAACCGGTGTATGATATACCTAAGAATTACAACAATGACACCATATGTGCGATTTAACAAAATACAATACAAAATAAGATGAGGAAGATGAACACCTACCCAAAATAATATGCCTTCTTCGTCTCACAAAAATCCCCAGTTCCAACATGAGGAAGCATTTCTTTCTGAAGAATATCTTTAGCATACCTGCGATTATAATATAGCAAAATTTGTGTGTGAACATCTCGATAGTCGATACTAGATATATTGAATTACAATGATCAATTCAATTTTTTAGATCATCATGTACTTTATCCTCTTATCCCTGGTTACACCAACTGTTGCTCCACGTTTCCCTATATAGTCAAGCGCAACCTGAAGCAATAACACAGTTAACAAATTTGCATAAGAATACAAGCAAAGAAACATCATTCTTTGAGCACTAAAGGTAAGGAGAACCACTTTGCAGGTAACCATTGCCTAGCTGGAATACTGGCTTAGGTGGCTGGCTTTTTCAACATCGAAAGCACAGTATCATAAACACAATATATGTTCTCAACCAAAGAATATGGTGAACTCCAGCATCTGTAGCATTTGTGGCAGATTGTGCAGCATCATAAAATGGTTATACACACACACACACACGCATATATATATATATATAGGTGCTAATTCCCGCAGAAAAAGAAACTAGCCTACACATGCAATTATGAATTCCATAAGAAGAAAAGAAAAAGATAATGCATGCCCTCAGTTCCTAAAATGATGAATAACAACTATCGAAGTGCACAACGAACAAAAGGGGCAAGGGAAACCTGTTGATTTTGAATCACAAACGCTTCTTCCAAGGAAGGCCGGAGAAATTCCATCATCTGGGTATCAGAAAAGTCATAGCAAATGTGTTCCAATATGTCCTTATCTGCCACAAATCCCAATGCTCGAAACACTATGATAATAGGAATTTCAGTTCTGATGTATGGAAGGGTGCAGCGAATATACTGCCCTGACGACCCCTGCATCCATTTGCAACATGGGATATAACCTATTTACCATTTGCTACGACTTAATTAAAGGGAAAATATTTCAGTGGAGTTCAGAAAAGTAATTCTCTCTTACCCCTTTGGAACTTGCCCGAGAAAGCATACGGACAAACATCGTGCTTGGCGGCCTATTTTGGTTCTCAGCCATGGAACGAACTTCAGCTACGTATGCGTATTTGTTCGGTTGCCTCTTCTTAAAGACATAAACATGATTCGTGCTCATCTTTTCCTGAGCAATGAGAACCTTTTCGCTTCCGTTAATTATAAAGTATCCACCTTGGTCATAAGGACACTCCCCTAGCTCGGTCAAATCTTTCTCCGAATTCTGATACAAGGTACAATAGCTAGACCGAAGCATTATAGGAACCTAACAAAAACCACACAACAAGAGAAAATATTTTACTGTCAGTAGAAGTGTATACCATACAAGGCCCATTATTCCTAGCATAATGTTAAATATACATACCTTCCCAATAAAAACTTTGGTAAAATCCTGTGTTTCTGTAACTTCCTCACCGTCGTGGCCTTTCTTTATAACTCTCTTAGTAACATCTACATATAGTGGGGCAGAATAAGTGAGATTCCTCAGCCTTGCAGCCTTCGGAAACAAGGTTGCAGTCTCTCCATCAGACTCTGTCATCATGGGTTTACTCAAATAAATCTGGCCAAAGCTAATCTTGTAGATTGTCTGCACGAAAACATATATCAAAGATTCAGCAACAAGATATTAAACATATTAACCAAGTCCATGCAAAATGCCACACTATTATTGAACTTCAAATATGTCAAGAAACTCAAAACAGAACCCTTAAAGCACTGCAAACAACTTAAAGAATGTGAAAAACGTCACATATAGTGCTAAGAACCTGAATTAGATAGTTTTCAAGAAAAAACTTAGAGTAGAACAATGATCTGACTCAAATTTAATAATATAAAGATGCAAGTGAGAGAATATAAGCGTTTCAACGAAATTACAGAGAATCTTAGAAGCTTAGACCCTAACTGTAACAGAGGGGTGGAAGATAAACACGAAACTCGTATAACCGCTATAGAATACAAGAAACCCAGCTGAAAAAACTCAAAATTCAACACGAAAAAGGACTAGGCCCAAATTTTGACCGAACAAGACAACAGTTATGACCAGAGGAGCCTCGAAATCACTACACGAAATCCCGAGAAGCGTAAACCCTAACTGTGACAGAGAGATAGAAACTAGACGCAAAATCCACAACCAATACAACAAGAACAACAACCATAGAATTCGATTGCCCAATGAAGTGAAACCCCATAGAAAAATGGGGAGAAAAAAATGCAAAAAGAACCTCGGCGAAATCAGATTGGTGACCAGGATTGTGCTGGGACTCCGGTCGGATCTCGATATCAGCGGATTCATCAACAATTTCCTGCATCGTATTCTGAATGAACTCGTCGAACGAGTCGAGCTGCTGACGCACGAGACCTTTCTCCTCGAAGTAGGCGGAGATGACGGCCCAGGCATCCTCCTGGGTGATCTCCTCGTCATCATCTTCATCTACGTATTGCTGTTCGTATTCGTTGTAATCCTCCATTGTTACGCTCAGACTCGAAGCAGAGAGCGCGAAAACGGAGCAGAACACAGACGCAGACAGCGAAAGCGGCGAATGTGTTCAACTGATTGAAGCCCGCGACAGAATAGCTCTTTTATTTCCCCGCAAGGCGGTGTAAACCGATGAAATTAAAGTTTGACCGGTCAACGGTATAAACCGGTTAAGGGGCTAACCGAACACGAATCCGGTTTGGGTTTGTTTCGAAATTGGAGAGCAAACCAAACCAATCCGATCATTTTTGTTGGAGCTTCACATGAAAAATGCAACACAGAACTCTAAAGATTATGACAAAAGTAAAAAAAAATAAAAATAAACCGGAGAGAAATCCAAACTGTACCGATATATTACCGGTTCAAATTGTATTCCAAATCTCGGTTATTTCATCTCTTTCTCCCAGTTTCGTAAACATGAGGAAGAACTAATTTCAGAAGAAAAATTGATTAAAGAAAAAACATTGTAATGTTAATGGCACCGATTTTGAAAAATCCAAAACACCAAAACCCAACAACAGATCAAAGCTAAGGCCTTAATACACTGCTTTAACTATTCCAAGACAATCTCCCCCTCAAGACCCAACCAATATAATATATATGTGTGTGTGTGTGCATATATATATATATTCTTTCAGGAAAAAAAAACAGTTTCTGATGTCTGAAACTGATGATCAAGGAGATTCTACTCGGACTTTCTTGCAGAGATCTTCCTCTTCATTCTGCTAAAAGGACCAACTGTTCTGTCCATAATGTACATGTATATCACTTGGCTCCATGACTTGTACGACTCTAATCCTTCATAGTATTCGGGTGCCATCTCCCTCACCTTGTGCAGCTTGTTTCCCGGGATTCTCGGGAAATCGTGATGCTCGTTATGATAGCCGACACTCCACGTCAGCAGATTCAGCGGGCCGTAGTACGAGTAAGTTTCTTGCTCGGGTTTAAACACGTAGTGCTCCGAGATGAAATGCCCCGCCATTGGATGCATACCCCCGCCCACGAAAGTCGAAAGTATCAGGTAAAGAAACGATCTCCATCCACAGAACCGGATCATTGCCACGTCCAGACCTATCTGAACGAGCAGGTTGACGAACTCCCAGTAGCCAGGAGGCTTCGGTTTCAGAAACAACGGTCTTAGCGCGTAGAAGAAGAGTTGTAAGAACACCCACACGGTCTTGGCAAACACGTTTTTCACGAGACGGGCTTCTGAAAAGCTCGGGACATCCATGTCAATGCCGTCCACTCCTTGAAAACGATGGTGCTCGAGATGGTACTTTTGGAAAGTTACAGACATTGGTACGCCGATGGGGAGGTTGGCAAAAATCCCGAGCCACCGGTTGTAGACTGGAGTGGAAAAGGCGAGATTGTGGCTGAGCTCGTGGATCGCCAAGAAGAGATTGTGATTGAGGAAAGAGCCAAAGAAATATGCAATGGTTAGAATCTTCAGCCAGCCTGCGTCGCGAAGAAGAGCAGCTGTCGAGAGCTGGAGCAAAACGACGACCGTGATCTGCAAGAATTCAACGTCCATTGAAAGGGCTTGAGCAAGAAGGCTCGGCAAGAGAAAAGGACAGATTAAAGTTCGGTAAACAACGATCTTTTGGACAATGTAGATGATGTAATAATGCATCAATCATTACCAACTTACACCAAACTACAGTGGACAGCGATCTGAATGTGTGCGATTGAATATATTCAATTGACAATAGAGAAAGCACAGAGCTTGCAAGCAAAAACAAAACCCAATGTCAAAATCAACTAATTCCACCAAAGGTTCTTCCTTTCTGATTCAGACAATGCCAATTCGTATGAGAACAATGATAAAGGAGGAAGAAAAGCGAAACCCATAAGCAAAAAGGAGACGAACGGCAATAACGCAGCGAGAAAGGAACGAGCAAAAAACAGAGAAACCGGAAACCTAACACGGATCTAACAATGCCGAGAGAGAAAAAGGAGAGACCTTGAGGAAAGCCCAGGGATCAGGACCGAAGAGATCTTTGATCTGAGGGTATCGAGACAGAATATTACGTCTCCTCGAAGCATGAGGCTCGTCAGTGTACGACCAGAAGAAATCCGTCGCCATGATTCCTTCTTCATCCTCCGCAACTCTCTCGCGCCCTCCTTTACCCATTCTCTTCTCTGTCTTCTGGTTTCTCCGGCGAGAAGACGGCTACGGAGGGGGGAGAGAGAGAGAAGGAGATATCTTTGAGCTGTGCCTGCGGAGTTTTAGGCGAAGAAGAGTTTCAACGAGACGATGACACAAAAGAAGAGGGAAGAGGCACGTGCGTGAAGGGTCTCAATCTGATCTTCTATAAATAGAAACCCTTTATTCTTTTCCCTTTTTGTTTATTTTTATTTTTCTTCGGACCACCTTTGTGTTTTGTCCTCTCTTTCCTTTTCATCCCCTATCTGGCTGCAAAATTTGTTCTCTTTCTCGTTCATGTTTCTACTCTCTGCATAGATTTTCTTCTTCTATTTTTGGATATTTTCTATTCCATCTAATCTAAACAATTCTCCATTAAAAAATATTAGTTTTACATTGAGGATTGAAGAGTATTAAGAGCAAGAACCGGACAAAAACGAGTAGGTGAATATTAAGAACAAGAATAGAGCAAAGACGAGTAGGTTTCAGTTTAATGATATATAAACAAATTTAGTGAAGTGTCTTATCCAGGGTTAATCTTCAAATGAATTGATAAAGAGTATGGTCAATATACCAGAGACTGGAGGTTCGAATCTTTATCCATTGACCTGTCTCCTGTCAGTTATAGTTGATTTACGTCCCACAACGTGTGTGTGGCTCATGTATGTGGAGTTTACCTTTTTTCATTCGACTCCCCGGAATGGCAATAGATATCTGAAAAGTTTTACCGGTCTACAAAAGGGAACAAACCCAAAAAAAACACAAGGGTGATGCAATTCTTCAATCCTGCCAGTCACCATCTAAAGTTTCTGTACAATGGGTTTAAGCACTTGAGCTAAAGTAAACGTACATGTACAACAAAGGACAATCAGAAGCCAGTAAAGGGCTTTTCAGTAACACCAGCTTCAGCAGAATGTCTGAATCCATACCTTTTTTGGCTTCTAACATCGTTGTCAGACCAATCTTGCTTCCAGCTCCATCAAGATCACCATGGGTTCTTAGCAGTGTAGCTTGGAAGTTGCAGGATAAGCAAGAGAACCAGCTTATGAACACAACCCATCTGACCATCAGGTGAACACTTTCACTATTCTACATGCATATATGCTGCTGAGGTCTCCTCACTGTCTTCAGACTCTTAAATTCTGGTTAGTAGTTAAAACTAGTTTGATCGTTCTCATTCACTCTACAAAACGCGGACCCACGTTCCGCCACACATGGGGCAACAATAGACCCAACGGCTGATCCACCAAGTCTCTCGTTCATTCTGGTTCGACTGATTGGATGCTGCTGGTGAAGTAAATGCCGATGTCTGCCTTAAGCATCTTATGCACTACATCAGAAAAATACATCAAGTTACAAAATTTTGATCAAAGATTATGCATTGAACACGAAAACAAAATGTAATGGGAATGGAATGGACAACCTTGTACCAAACTCCTTCAAGACCAGTTTTCCACGTCGCTGTGACAACATCCCTCCTAGATCCCATAATACCTAGATATGCACCCAAACCCACAGAAGTATTCAGACCAAAAGCCGCTTCTCTTTCAGACATCCGCCGCTTTCTTGGCCACAAGCTCTGGACTCTGTCATAGACATCATAGATTTCTGAAGGGCTTGTATCGAGCAAATCCACAGAATAACAATGTTTGGATGTATCATCTGTCGGGTTCATCTCATCAGGATCTGACCAGGGTCCTCCAAACATATTCCGTCTGTGCCATTCTTCAGACGGTGGATGAAGCTCCAACTCACGGAGTAGAAGGCCAGCAGCATCAGCTCCTCTAGGACGAGGCATGTTCTGCTTATCGAGTTTTGTTTAGAAAAGAAATCACAAAAACCAGGATGGAGACAGGAAGATTAGAAAGCATAATTTCGTTTTTTTAGCTGACCAAACGACACCAACAAAAACAGACAGCTTCAATGTCTTCACAACAAAAGAAAAGAAGGGAAAATAAAGGCAAATACCTGCATATGAGGTCCTAGAGCTGCTTCTACCACCTCAGGCAACACAGTGTAATTTCCATCAATATAGTGCAATCGCACCTGGATGTTCCCACTACCTACCTGAGAGGCAGGTAAAGGATGTGCAAGACTAGCTGTTCGCCGACAGAGGTCCATCAGTATAAGGAAAAGAACTCTCACCTGGAAGATCATAAACCATACTCGTCAAATCAATCCTAGAATGATAAAATTTCAGGATTAATATTTCTCTAGCTACTTTTACTATCAACATGATGTTTTTTCTCCAGTTCCATGATCTACAACCCTTAATCAAAATTGCTCGGTCATAATCTCAATCATTCTAGTGCCATGGTTTGTGATTATTCTCACCCCATAGTGGTCAGGTCATGCCTCCCTCCATTATCGGGGTAACAAAAGGGAAAGCGCCAAAAGAAAAGGACAACGGAAGATAATAGTTTGAATGCAAAGATGACACAGACAAGGATTGCCTACCTCCTCGAAAGTATATCCTTGACCAGCATTCCCAGAACCCATCTTCGTACGTGGTGCAAGATTTTCATCAACCCCTTTCACTCCATTACCCAACAGGGGACTTCGGTTTCCCAAAACTTCCTCTGTCCTGCTCAGGGCAGATATTGACTTAACAGAATTCACCTCTTCCACCTTGCCTGTGACCCCAGTTTGAGGCTTTTGCGTACTAGTATCAGCATTTCTCTGAGGAAACCTCTGGACCTGCGCCCGGCGAAAGAAATAACAAAAGAACAACAACTGGCATAACCGATGAAGAAAATGACAGTCCCCAATGAGCCGAACAGCAGGTGTTCCTGGAAAAGTTCCAGTGTTGATGCTTATTGGCATATAGCTCGTTGGACCGCCTATAGCAGTTGCAGTAGAGTTTGACACTCCATCGCTTGAGCTACTGATTTTCGCAATTGCACCCTGTACCCAAGCTTGCACTTGCGTGTTCCCGCTAGAGTTCGTAGCACCAGTCTGGCCTGCTGCACGAGACAGTATATCGTTAAGACAATACTCCACATACACCAGCTTGAATGTCAATTAACGAAGGCAGCATATGTTCCTGCCCTAAACTGCAACTGAAGTGAAGCTCCGAGGAACATAGATCTCAACAAGCAAAGGTGAGACTAAACTTTACAGGCATCAGGATTCAGGAATATCGACTATGAGGCTCCTCTTGCATTAGTTAGTTCTAGGACCAAAAACCTGTGTTTTGTCTTTGATCATTGTCCCTCGACAGATAGGCATTTTCACCGAGCCATTTGTACCTCTAAACCCTTATTCCATACTATTGCAGTACATTAGATATCACAAACCAAAGAACACTGACCCTGAGATGTTACAGGAGATGAAGCGTTTTGTGTCGGACTGGTAACCATATGGCGATTACTTCCAGTTCCAGCAGAAACAGCATGGCTTGCCAGTGTGCGACAGAAACTTGCATAACGCCTCAAACGCGTGATGAAATGAGACGCTAGATCAAGAACAGCATCCACATAAGCCTGCACAATATGCTAACTCACTCACTCTTGTCTTAACATAACACATAATGAACAAATGCAATAAGCAGGCATCTTGTCTTGAAACAAACAAAATGCATTCAATGATAACGAGATGGAAGAACCGATGTCATATGAGCATAACTAAAATGGAAACAATCAACACAAACGCAAAACAACCACATGGACCCATTGCCAGATTTGAGATGTAAAATCCAGTATTTAATAGAAGCACCCAAAAAGGGAAAAGAAAAGAAAGACTTATGCTTGACCTCGAAGCAATCGTACCTGAATACTTGAGACAAGAGCAGGATCGACTGCCATTGCCTCGGGATCGATGCTGGATAATGTCTCCCCATTTGCTTGCCATGGCTCAGTAACCAATGCCGAAGGATTCACAAGAGCGGATTCTATTCCTTTCCCAAGCATGTCTAGCAACAATCTTGCTTGCATATCTAACACCATTGCACGGACCTCTTGAGCATTGGTTCCTTCAAGCAGCCGGCATTTTATCCTGTCTAGGCTCTGAAAACCACATGAAACAAGGATCAACAAGATGGATGCAAAAGGAAAAATGTAACAAAATTAAAGCATTTGGCGAAAATCGCCAGCCACTAAATAAATGAACACACCTGCAACTAAAACACTAACAACGGAAATTTTTCACGACACATTGAATGCATTCAAACAATGTTAGACGATAGAAACAAGAGATAAGCAGAAATAAGGCTTCGAAACATACAGGACCATATTGTTTTCTGTGATGTGGTGAAGGTAGTGAGTGAAAATCCGCATCCAGGACAGCAATCACGCTGTTCAACGAAACTAGAACCACCACAGAAAGGAACATAATGTCAGATTGTTACAATATTTTGCCTTATCGTAAGACCATAATTTTAAAAGCATGAAAATGTGTTCGGATAATGCTAATTTGTATAACACCAAGTAAAAAGTAACACAAGAAAGTTCACCTCTTACCTTCCGTCAAAAGAGAGAACAAAAGAAAGAAGAATCTAGACAAAATATCACAATATTTCTCAAAATTAAACTCCAGAACCTCTAAATTATGGGTTGCAATATTAAATAGAATTGAGATCAAGAAACTCATAAGCATCAAAACATCATACCGATCCCATCCTCCGCAGAACTCTGTGTACAGCCAACTGCATCCCACCAATCAACTCCAACCAAAAGACTCCACCAGAACCTGTTAAAAAAAATACATATAACATATTCAATTCGATCATTTAGCTTCATTGCAATAATACATACAACATTCTATACCTCTCAGCAATAGCCCGCTCCCAGGTTGATTGATTAACCTTAGATTGGCCACTTGGAAGGGCGGGAGGAAGAACACGGATGATTTTCAACATTGTACAGTCCTTGGCAGTATCATGCCAGACAGAAGCTGAGCAACAGCTCGTAGGAGAAAACGCGGGTGCAGCAATTGAATATCCAACATTTATTTGATAGTTCTCGACGAGTGAAAATGTTGGACCAGAAAAGATATGAACACCACCCCGAAGAAAAGCAATAGAAATTTCACCACCATGAGCAGAATAGACAATCCGTGCCAGTGTCCGGACATCACTTGGCAGATCAAAGGGGTCACAGACAACCTTGTTGGTCTTGTCCTCACCAGTATCAGATTCCTTTGGGGCATCCACATTAGGTCCTGCTTGGTGACACTTAAGATCATTTGTTGGTGGTATGCTCATATCTACTCTGGACACCCAGACAGTTTGCATTGGAACCTGCCCACCGGAATTTGAAGTCGGGTTTCCAAATATCTGATGCAAAACCACGGGTTTAACACTTGATTCCCAACGCTGCACTCTCCATCCTGTGATTGAAGGACCTTCATCTGGATCATATGGTGACATGTATTGACCTGCATACACAGCAACCATCGTTTTGTGAACTAAAAAATACTTATAGGAAGTCGTGTTGACACTGAACTTACACAACAGACTGGAACTGTTTAACTTTACCACACACACAAAAAAACACTTTTCCCCGTGGCAATTAGCACTTGAAGATCTCAAGACTTTTGAGAGATGAGTATTAGCACACATGTAATTATGTAAATCACACAAAACGCAGGTTCAAACACAGTAAAGCATGGAGTTCATCCAGAATAAAAACACTACCTTCGACTATAACGACAGCTATGACAGAACCACCACGAGTTGGATCGAAAGCAACAGCAGTAATGCCAGAACCCCATGTAGTGGTTGCCGCAGACTGAGCTGCAGCCTCAGGACTAACATAAGCAGAAAAATTAGAAACGGGCGAGCAATTAAGTGATATTGAATCGCTAGAATCTTGATCTTCTGGTTTCCTCCCTTGCTTTGTTTCAGATATCAAATATTCTTGCCAGCTGAACAAATATGCAGCTAAAGGAGCAAAACCTGGCCAAATTGGGGAACCAAGAGATGGTGGCACACAACTGCTTGTAGATACTTTCGGAGTGAACTGGAATCCATTTCCAGGACCAGGAGTCACATCCCAGACTACAACTGTAGAGGGGTTCACTATCGGAACCCCAGCCACATGCATGGCTCCACTCTCAGTTATTATGGCATCAGCGGCCATGATCCCGCTAGGCCCCGCACCTAAAACACCTTTACTCGTACTAAACCACTTTGCCGGAGTGCCTCCCTGGCTAGAAGGCCACTGAGACCAATGAAGTTGAACAGAGCCGGATGAGAAAACAGAGCACACACAAAGGAAATTAGGCCAGCGAGCTGCAAGAGATAGCCGACAATCAGAAATATGTCAAAATCAAGGAGAAATACATCAGCTTAATAACATGGGAAAATGAACTGAGTTGCAACGAAGAATCAGAAATCTTTTTTGCGCTTTTAAGTTAAAGAAACTGTTTTATTAAGAGGAATGAAGAGTTTACAAAGAAATGAATTGTCAAAAATGAGAAGCAAATAAACTAAAGTGAAAAGAACCTGAACTTTCAGAGTTTTGTGAGAGATACTTCTCCTCAAAAGTTGACTTTGAGTTTGTAGCAGAACTTGATTTAGATGACAGCCACCTATACTGATTTTCAAAAACAACCAACCAGAATAAATTCCCAAAGATTGAACTCAAGCAGCAAACTATAAAACAAAACTCAAAGACACAAAACAATCATCTATCAGACTATCAGTTAAATTGTTCCCTTGAAGGTCATGTAAAATTGTAATACAATCATATACATGAATCTGCAGTTTGAAGATCTTATGGAGTCCGAGTCCAGTAATTTAAATACACCAACAATGCAAACACACGTCAACTTTCTTCGGAGCCAGGAGTTATGGTTTATATGCATCACAGATCCAAATAGAATGTCAAAAAAATAAAACAGAGAGGAGTAACTTACTGGAGAAACCCCGGCTAGCCACTTTGTGACAACAGCAATGTCTTGACGCCATTTGTACTCACACTGCCAGGAGGTAGCATCACGCACTAAATTAGCCGGTCCCTGCAAAAACGATCCACAATAAATAATTAAGGAGGACCCCTTTCACACATAATACATGAGATACATACATTACATCTAAGGAGTACTGAAAAGCAGAAAACTACAGATAAGATAAAAATGATGTCTACCACTTACCTGAGAAGGCTGAGCCCAGATAGTTATCCTTCCGTGGAAATTAGCAATGAGTAAAGCGCGAGGACAAGAAATGGGAGACCATTCGATAAATTGAACCGAATCACGAGGAGAATCTGCAAAAAAGCGCAAATTCATCATCTGCCTCAAACCCAGAGGAGAAACAACACTTCATGTTGTGTCCAAAATCTTACCAGCTACAACATTGAACACTGCACACTCAGTTGGACGCTCCGGTATCAAGATATGTATGGGGATCCAGAAAGGTGGATTAGCATTAGAGCTACAACACAGACGAGAGAAAGGTGATAGTCATGGAAACTATTCTGTAAGAACTTTGCACCACAAAATGCATATAGCCATTTCCATGATTACCCAGAAATAAAAATAAAACCTTGGAATCCTTGCACATGTTTCTGAAGCGCAAGCTATGGCATTGAGTTTCCCACACCAAGCAACGGCACTGGAAATACAAAGTTTGAAACTTGATGAGCTTGTCGGAAAATAGAAGAACTGTACATAGAGCGATGAAAAGGAGTGTGGACCTGAAGGTACGGCATAATTCCGGGACGCTCATCTTGTGGAGCAAGTTCGAATTAGGCTGCTTGAGCCTAACACGGAACACTGTGGCCGGACTCACTGAGTCAACCTCCATGGGATCGTCCTCTCTCTCTCCGCCGTCTGCTGATGTCGCCGGCGACGTCTCCTCGGCAGAACCTGGATCCTTCGACTCAGCCGTCTCCTGCTGCTGCTGCTGCACCTCCTCTTCCTCCGCCGTCTCAGTGCTCCCTTCACCACGATGGCCCTCCGCATGCGGCTGCGGTTCCGGTTCCGGTTGCGGTTGTTCTTGCGGATGCGGATTCATCACAGCGAAAGCAACAAGACCCTAATTCTTGAATTTATAAATTCAGGCAGAGGAGGAAATGACAAAAAAGTCGCAAGTTTAGCCGACAGGAAGCACTGTTGTATAGCGAGAGAGACACTTGGTGGGGTTTTAGTGCGGGGAGAAAAAAAAAATCAAAGATTCAATCTTTTTCTTTTTAGGGTTGTTTGCGTCACTGCGCCGCCACCGGATGAAGAAACTCGGACACGACACCGACAAATACCGTGCCTTGTGCTCTCTTCTCTCCTGCTTTTGCTTGTTGTTTGTCACTTTTTTCTCTCTTTTTTCGTTTCCAGATCTGTTTCTGCTTATCAATTTTGTGTTTTTCCTGTTTCTACGAAATGAAAATGAAAATGAGTCGATGACCAATCGTAGGCCTAAACATTTCATTTGTTATTAACGAACACATATGTATAATTTATCCCAATCGATTCATAATTAAAATTTTGATTCGGTATATAATTTTTATTTTTTTGAAAATCAGGTTAATCGAATTTGAAATTATCCTAATATATGTATAGATTATCAAACACTCCGAAAACAAACAAAAAACAATTATGTAAAAAAAAATAGTTTTTTTAATAAGAAACAAATTCAATTAAACTCCAAACAAATCTCAAAAATAATAGCCAAATCATAATATATACCATTCTTTAAAACTTAAAATTTTCAGTTTCCAATATAAATAAATCATTAATTGGTCTAATTGGAGTAATTAAAAGCAAAACACTTTAAAATAAAATTTCAGACTAGGACAAAAATTATGATTCGTTGTTCCAAAACTATAGGACTAAAAAATTATGTGGATGGTTATACAAATGTGGATTATAGCTTTATGATAGTAGTAAATTATTACTATCATAAAAAATACTTGTCAAAACAATTTAATTCGATATAAAATTAAAATCCCTTAAGGAAAAAATAATATCCTAATCGAAAATATTAGTTCTTTATCATTCTGCTTTATTTTTTCTAAACCTAATTAATTTTCGTAATATAATGGAATTTTAGTTGAAAAATTAATTCAGAAAACACTTGTGGAAGAAAGAAATACGTTGAAACGCGTATAAAAATCCCATCTTTGAAGTTTGTAGTGAAGATTCTTCTTTCAATTCGAAATATTTCTTGAGCCCCTGTCGTCTCTCATACATTTCTCATTTCCTTCTCAGCGAAGGAAAAAAAAACTCGCCGATTGCTGAAGCAGAGATCGACGGCAACCATGGCGAGTCGTTTCGGATCGCAGTCTTCGGCGATCATGACGATGACGGTGACCAACACGCCTGCGGCGGATCTCGCCTTTACCAATCTCGCTTACTGCTCTCCGCCCGATCTCCGTCAGTTCGCCGTGCCCGGCTCCGATCTCTTCCTCGCCAACGTCGGAGACGTCTTCATTCTCTCTCTTTCATATCCTTTGTTCTTCGTTTCCTTTTCGCAATTTCCCTCTTATTTGTTGCCTTCAATGCGATTTCAACCGTAAACGATTCTGCGAAATGGCACATTTCGACTTCTGGGTGATTTTGTTTCTCTTTAGGAGAAGTTACATTTGTTGATCTTCGTGGATTTTCCTGGATCGGGCTTTGACTTAGAAAGTCAGGTGGCACAATTCGATTGCTTTGTTGTTCTTCAAATCGTTGTTTCGGTGGAGTTAGAACAGTATTGCTTGGTTTGAATTCATGGTCAATGAATCTCTTAAATTAGAAATTGTTGTGTCAATTCGGATTTTGGTCCTTATGGGTGTGCTATTCCCTCCTGTTGGAATGATGGGCTTGTTTAAATTTTCCGTCTTGTCCATTGTTATATCAACTTCGATACGAGTCTTGCTTCTCTTTGTGAACTTAACTGGAAATAACTCGACATGATAGCATCCGTGATGGATGTATTGGTTTAAATGCTATTCAACGTCGACATGCTAGAGTTTCTACTGGTGATATGGTCTCTGTAAGCAGGTAAAAAATATCTTGCAGGTCCCCTTACCTTTGTTGCGTTACCTGATGAATTTCTAAGGATTGTATCCTGTCTGCAGATTTATTCCTCCTGAAAATTTTGACTTGGCTTTGCTAACACTTGAGTTGGAGTTTATAAAGAAGGGAACTAAGAGCGAACAGGTTTGTAGTGTTTCCATGTCTATAATTGCTATTCTTGGAATCTTTGCTGTAGAACTTAACATCTCTGTGTGGTATCACTGATTCACTTCGCAGGTTGATGCTGTTCTGCTTTCAACCCAACTTAAGAGGAAATTCGTAAGCCAGGTAAGGACTCAGATGCTTACTGTGCTATCTGTGTTTGTATCACAATTCTTGTAGCCGTGATCAAGTTTTGCGGTTTAAACATTTAACTCATGGGCAAATGAATGAACTGAAGATGTATAAACATTCAAGAGTGTATAGATGAGATGGTGTATATTTCCAATGTATGAAGTTTGTATATGGGTTTTTCCATTAGCGCTCTTTTCCACTGAAGCATTGGTTATCAATGAGTAATTCTGGTCATTTTTTTCAAATCATGTTAGTATTATGCTGCTGGAGACTAAAGAATCCGTGTTTTAGACTCTGTTATATAATTGGTCTGATCAATTGACCCTTACTTTGTTTCACCTAATAAGATGCTAGAATCAACTTACCGAAATCATGCATACTTCTGCAGGTCTTGACTGTAGGGCAGAGAGCTACTTTTGAGTATCATGGAACCAATTACATTTTTACGGTTAACCGAGCTGTTGTGGAGGGTCAAGAAGGATCCAATGGTATCGAAAGAGGGATGATCACTAAAGATACATATATTGTCTTTGAAGCGTCAAATTCAAGTGGCATAAAGGTCTGCTTTCAGTCAATGCTTCTGCAGTTTTGTATTTGTTAGTTAATTGACTCTTAGAGCACCAATCAAATGACAATTTGTTCTCATACATTCAGAACAGTTGACATGATCATTTCATAATTTTCTGGCATTTGCTTTTTGGTGGCACAAAATATTGATCGCAATCTTGGATAATTCATATCTTTAATCTTGTAATTTTTGTATGCAGATTGTCAATCAGCGTGAAGCTGCTAGCAGCAACATATTTAAACAAAAAGAGTTTAACCTTGAGTCACTGGGTATAGGTGGTCTTGGTGCAGAATTTGCTGATATCTTCCGGAGAGCTTTTGCTTCTCGTGTGTTTCCTCCTCATGTCACAAGCAGGTTTTGTGATTGATTCGCCAAGCAGATATTAACTTATCCTGTTTATTCTATTTATTTCTCCGTAGTTTAGTTATATATATTTTGCAGACTGGGGATAAAGCATGTAAAGGGGATGCTACTCTTTGGACCTCCTGGTACCGGCAAGACTCTTATGGCACGCCAAATTGGGAAAATGCTGAATGGAAAAGAACCGAAGGTATTGTTGGCCGCTTGTGTCCCCGAGATCAAGAGTCCTTTCTAGGAACTAGATTCACTATCTTTCTTTCAGATATCTTCAAATGTTAATACTTATGTTCTTCTGGTGGCATGTTAGATTGTTAACGGTCCTGAGGTACTGAGCAAGTTTGTCGGTGAGACAGAAAAGAATGTTAGAGACTTGTTTGCTGATGCTGAAAATGACCAGAGGACCCAGGGTAAGGAAAAAAAATCACCCGATCTGCATTTTAGTTTTCTTTTGTTTCATATGCAGTGATTTTAGATTCTTGTTGAACTTTTTTTCAGGTGATGAAAGTGACTTGCATGTCATTATTTTCGATGAGATTGATGCTATCTGTAAGGTACACTGATTTTCTATGCTTTTTGGAGAAAGGTTTTACTAACTTGAAGTCTGATACATACTTTTAATGTTGGCACTAAACTTTTACCTTTTGCCTCTCTCCACCGGTCATAGTAAATGGAATTATAAGACCTTAAATTGGCCCTGTTTGTTTTTCGTGATTTATAGTTGAAAATATGTGTATCTGATTCAATATCATTTGTTTATGCGGGTTAATTTCGAAAATCTGAGAAATTATTTTCTTTGCCTTTTCAGTCGAGAGGATCAACCAGAGATGGCACTGGTGTCCATGACAGTATTGTTAATCAGCTCCTTACAAAGGTCAGCCAAAGAACAAGCTAATGTTAATACATTCAGAGTTTAAACCGTATCACTGACGCTTTGCTTTTCAGATAGATGGTGTGGAAGCCTTGAACAATGTTTTGCTCATTGGAATGACAAACAGAAAAGATTTGCTTGATGAAGCCCTTCTAAGGTTATCCTGATACATGTGCTAGTTGCTAGTGTTGTCCCCTTTATGATACAGTTATGACCGTAAACGTTTCAAAGTAGTTCTGTTATTCTAATCCATGATGCGTTATTTTTCATTGGGAAGGAAACCACCCAAAGCCTACTCTCTGCTTATATTAATTTTCGGGCTGAGGTTATTAGATGCATGTTTTGATCTTTTTATTTCTAATATATAGGCCTGGAAGATTGGAGGTTCAGGTTGAGATAAGCCTTCCAGATGAAGCTGGACGTTTACAAATTCTTCAAATTCACACGAACAAGATGAAGGAGAATTCTTTCCTCGCTGCTGATGTAGATCTCCAAGAGCTTGGTATGACTCTCCATAGATTATGCATATCCAAATCATTGAAATGTCTGAGTTCTGTAATCCCAGTACATAACACTGCGTTCATATAATAGATAGAAAGCTCTTTCCGAAATTGTATGTATTAATTTTCAATGCCACACAAACAAAAGAAAATCAACTTTCTACACACTTTATGTAAGGTTTTCTTTTTTTTTTTTAGTTGAATCTCTAAATAGATATACATGATATTGTCTGTTTGTCATTCATTACATTTATATGCTAGCTTCGCATAAATACATCTTTTACATGATTTTGATGTCATATTTGACCAGCTGCTCGGACGAAGAATTACAGTGGTGCAGAACTTGAAGGTGTTGTGAAAAGTGCGGTATCGTATGCTTTGAACAGGCAACTGAGCATGGATGATCTTACCAAGCCAGTGGATGAAGAGAGTATTAAGGTGACTATGGAAGATTTTGTCCATGCTCTCCACGAAGTCCGGCCAGCATTTGGAGCCTCCACTGACGATCTTGAACGCTGCAGGTAATTTGCTTGAATTATTTTCTACTCGAAGAAAAAGGACTTTGCTGCTCGAAAGAAACAATGAAACACTGATAATAAATGCAGTACATGTTCTTCAGGCAGTTTCCATAGAACTAGCTAGATTGCAGACAGATGGGTGACTAATTGAAACTGAATTAAGCCAATCCTTGGAGCCAATATATCAGTCCTATAATATATAAGTAGAGATTTGTCAAATAATCATAGCATTTCTTTGCTTGTTTTTTATTTTTAATTGATGCTACTGTAATTTGTTTTGTTTTTGCTGTATGTGCGCAAATTGAAATGTGATATGTGTCCTTTTTTTCACATTTCCTACCTGAATTCTGATCCACCAGTAACATTTCGGAAATGTATCATGGTATGTAGGCTCAATGGCATGGTGGACTGTGGTGATCGTCATAATCACATCTATCAAAGAGCTATGCTACTAGTTGAGCAAGTTAAAGTTAGCAAAGGAAGCCCTCTAGTCACTTGCCTTCTCGAGGGACCAAGTGGCAGGTAACTTCCATAGTTATCTTCCCTTGTTCACTTCCCGGTTATAGTTTTTTTTCGCTGACTTAAAGTTTTCTATACAGTGGGAAAACCGCATTGGCTGCAACTGTCGGGATTGATAGTGACTTTCCATATGTCAAGATAGTAAGTACCCTTCATAGTAGTTAGTACATGTGTTGACTGTACTATCTTTGCATCTTTATTCGAAATCTGTTTGTTTTGGTAGGTCTCTGCTGAAACAATGATCGGTCTCCATGAGAGCACGAAATGTGCCCACATTGTCAAGGTCGGTCCATTTAGCAGCTGCTCTATTCTCTTTTTTTCCGTGGTGGTTTACTGACTCAATCTGGTTTGTGGTGTGAATGGACAGGTCTTTGAGGATGCTTACAAATCGCCTCTTAGTATAATTATCCTTGACGATATTGAAAGGTTGTGCCTTCTCTCTCTTGTTCTTCTTTCTCTCTCCTATCAAGAAGACTCGGTTCAGAATTCTTTGCATCCTCGTGTTTTTTCTTTCTTTCCCGGACTCATTTGTGGGATCTGTAATGCTGCAGGTTGTTGGAGTATGTAGCAATCGGGCCACGATTTTCAAACATTATTTCTCAGACGCTGTTAGTCCTTCTCAAACGGCTTCCTCCTAAGGTGTTTAGTTCATGCTTTTGTTCCTTTTTATTCACAATCTCGAGATATTTTCTCGGGGCAGAGCTAAACAAGAAATGTTAGTTTTACCTGTTCGTGGGTTTCTCGTGTTTCGTCTTTCATTGCCACATGTTTTCTTGGTTAGCTAATCATTTGGACTAAACCTGCGTATCCAAATTGGAAATTCTTTGTGATCAGGGCAAAAAACTTCTCGTGATCGGGACCACGAGTGAACTAAGCTTCTTAGACTCTGTCGGTATCTGTGACGCCTTCTCCGTCGCCTACCATGTCCCAACAGTGAGGACCGAGGATGCAAAGAAGGTAAAATGCCCCTTTTTGCTACTCATTTTACAATCTCGTTGACTGTAAAGTATCAGGTTTCGTATCGTAACTGATCAAAATCTCGGTGTTTGCTTCAGGTCCTGAAAGGATTAAACGTCTTCGATGAAGATGATGTCGATGCAGCTGCCGAGGCCCTCAATGATGTGAGCGTTCACATAGTTATCTTTCTCATAGCCTTCCATTTTTTTTCATCTTGGTTTCACCATAGACATGAAAGATCATCTCCAGGACACGAAGAACAGCGAAAAGGAACGATTTTTTTCGCGCATGCTGACGATTGCCTTTGCGGGTTTTGCATATTTTTTACAGATGCCAATCAAGAAGTTATACATGCTTATCGAGATGGCGGCTCAGGGAGAGCACGGTGGCTCAGCGGAGGCGATCTATTCCGGGAGGGAGAAGATCAAAATCACGCATTTCTTCGATTGCCTTCAAGACGTCGTCAGATTCTAGTTTCCGATCCGTTTCTGTTTTTCCGCTGCATCATTTGCAAGATTTTCCGACCAGTCTTTGTGCCCCGTTCGTTGTATTTAGTAGATTGGTACTGAGTTGACTCGGATGGTTTGGCGAGTTAGGAGGAGAGCTCCTAGTTTTCTGTCATTTCCATTATTACTCGCACTTTGTTTCAGCATCGTCAGTTGGTGAAATAGACATTGCCCCAAATTGCATTGCTTTTGGTCACGGGGCGTGCACGTGACACACCCGTAACAGAACGACGTCGTTTATGTCATCTCCTTCCCTTTATTATTATTGTCGCTCATTTGCGACTTGAAGTCAACAAAATTGAACTCCTCTCTTCGGTCTCGTGAACCAAAAACTTTCCAGATGCCGGCGAAATTCTCTCCGCCTTCGATAATAGCCCTAGCGTTCTTCATCCTCTTCGCCGGAAAATCCCTCTCCGGAGAATTACGGCCCTCCGATCATGGCCTACAGTACCAGCTCAGCTCTCCGCCGACTCCAGCTGGAGCCAAATCTCCGCCGGAGATGCTCTCTTTCTTCGGGCAATCTCCGTCTCCTCCGCCGTCGGATTCTCGGCTCCTCCCCAAGGCGGCGAAGGACGACGACGACGACTCGTGGTGGCGAGAGGGAGCTGGAAACCGCCGTGATCGGGTGATGAGGCACGTGTTCCTGGCGGCGAGCATCCTCTGCGGTGTTTCCGCCGCCGCGCTTCTGGTGGCTCTCACCGTTATTTACTACTTCAGGTACCGGAATCAGAAATCTAAATCTCCATCTTCCTGTAACGACTCGAAGTAGAAATCGAAACTTTAATTTGCTTCAGTTTTATTTTTGTCGTTGCTAGAAATGTATGATTTAGTGGGATTTCTTATTTCTGTGTATAATAATTTTTTAAGAACTTGGAATTTTATTCCATCTTCTACGTCTTTTTCATTACGGGTTGTACGCCCACATGTTCTCTCTCTCTCTCTCTCTCTCTCTCTCTCTCTCTCTCTCTCTCTCTCTCTCTCTTAATTTCCGTCTAAAGGCTTCGACTTTTCGGTAAATAAATTAACAAAAAGGAAAAGCTTTTGTGACTTCCTCAAATTTCTTTATTTTTTTAAATAATATTTTATTTAATGTTCAGATTAAAATTAGATAGTTCCTGGTGCATGATTTTATCTGGTTTTAGTTTATTTATATGCATTAATCTACTTATAAAATTTTCCAATTGAATCTAATGATAACAGATCATAGAAGATTTTGATTTGATGGCAGCTTTAAATTATAAAGGAAGCCAATTTCTTCTATGGGTCCCGTCATCTGACCAACGCTTATCTCTCTGTCTTGCCATTGTTTGTTGTTCAAGAAACATATGGTCATATTATTTGTTTATATATAAATTAGCGTATTATTATATATAGATTTACATGACCAAATCCTTATGCTATGGTTATGCTACTCTAATCACCTAGTCCTAAACAAAATTGGACCGACGTTTATTGATTATTTTCTGGTTTAAATTACACGTCAGATCCTAAATGCATAATAAATCTATCGAATTTAACTGTGTATAGTTTTGCATCTCATATATATATATATATATATACACACACACATATTGGTGGGATAAAGATAAAACAATTTATTTCGGTTTCTTTATTTGGAATTTCACTAATTCAGAAGACTTGCTTCTCATGGCTTTTTATAATGAAAAAAAAAACACAAAGACAACTGTTCCATCACATCCTTCAATTTTATTTCTATTGCTAGTCTATACGTATCTAATATACATACACACAGACATATGTGTGTCTGTGTGTATATGAGACACATGGATATATATATATATATATATATATATATATGTAGATGTATACATACCCAGAGAGATGCGCCAAACTATACAAACGTGGGTTCAACAAATCACCGGAATAGTTCATAGTATAACTTAATTATGTGCATGCATAGTCATACGCATAACAATTTTGTTTATAATATGGTTTTATATGTGTCCAAATTTGGTCTAATAAGAGAAAATAAAGTTGTGGTTTTTTTTTTTTTTTTTGTTATTCATGAAGTTAACATATATAATACGCCAGTAAAATGTGTTTCCAAGTTATCAGGATCTATTATGGCTTATGCATGTATTACTGCTTAAAATTCATGAAACCTTCCGTATATTATCTGTGATCATAATAAAGACCATCTTAATTCGTGAAATAATGTATAACTATTGCTAATTAAGTCTAATCTAAAAAAACTGATTAATGATGATATCTATAAAATCAAAATTAATCGGATATAAAAAAAATATGAATGAACCCAAAATTCCTAAGAAAATGAGTAATGTTGTTGGTGAAAATCAAACTCCGAAGTAAAATAAAATTTGGTAAAAATCGAATCAAGTATAAAATTTTAAAATAAAAAAAAAATAAATCTAAAAATAATGACCGAAATATCCATCAAATGAACCGAAGCCCTCCTTTATCAACCTAATCAACACATTTTCTTTGATTTAAACGTACTATGTATATATATATATATATATATCCCACCAACATTAATGTATGCATATGCATACGTACATAATTAAGGAGAAACCCACCAGACCGATACATCGAATTAACATATTGACAACTGTATCTATTTATTTATTTATTTGATTAGAAGTTGCATTATAATAAATGGAGAAAATGATTAAATGGATTTTGCAACTTTCATGGTGCACCACTTTCTCGCCTTTAAGCCCCTCCTTCTTCCTTCATCGAATCTTTCCTCTGATTTCAAGAAACTTCACATCTCTTCATTTGTTGAATTTGAAAAGAAAAAAAAAAATTGGTAATGTTCTGTTGTTGAATGTGCGTATATGTTTTTGGGATCTTCATCAAGAGAGACAGCTTCTCCGACAAATGAGAAGAAGCCTAAACATAGAATCTCTACCAACTTGCCCGAGGGGGGATTCCTCTTTCTCACATCGTCTCTAATTTTCAGGTACTTTCTTCAATTTGATATATGAATATTATTCTTGATTCAATCTTCTCAACGTCAAGAATATAAGATACATTAATTCACACATATATTATAATCGAATAAAATGTGAAAAACGGTCCAAGATTCATATCTTTTTATGGAACTCAAATTATTGATTCAAGATTTAAAAAAAAAATATGGGCATTATTGTCATATTGATTTTTGATTTCGAGATGTTTGGAAATGTTGGCCTTTTAGACTTTAGTCCCATTAATAACTTCATCTATAAGAAAAAGCGCTATTCTTCATGCATCACATCACATGCACCATAACTTTTTCTTATTCTTCTTCTTTTGCCTTATCTTTACAATACTTTTTGTATGTGATTATAAGTAAAAGTAATTAATTAAATTAATTTAAAAGTACTCTTGATTCATCTTTTTGTTTTCATAAACATTCAAGTGGACAAATTAAAGAGAAGATCCTCTTGCTTTTTTTTTTTTTGTGGGTTTGGAGGTTCTAATTGAGATTAGTCCTTGTGGCTCAATAGGGACAGTTTCCATATTTGCATTCTCATTCTCATCTCCAAAATGGCTATGAAGATGAAAGGCATCTACAAAGGCTTCAAATGCATCTCCCAAATGTTTGGTAACTTTACTCTTTCTTCTTTCCAAATACAAATTAAAATCCTTATATTTTTCTACAATTAATTATTCGAATGCCATTGGGTCGAAATTCTTCCATTTAAATCTGTTAATTAGGTCATTTTTCACTTATATATCTTATAACCGAATCCATGTCATGTTATCATATATATGCACATATATATTATAATGCTTTCAATAGTTGTAGATGATAGCTTATGGACCCATGCATGATCATAGGGCTTTGAATTACATACATATATATGTTTGGTATATGATGATTTTCAGCGGTTGTAAAAGATAGAGAGATGGAGATTGGTTACCCTACTGATGTAAAACACGTAGCACATATTGGATGGGAGGGCTCCTCTGGCAGCGCTCCTGGTTGGGTATGTGTGTGTATATGTGTATCTATATATGCATATATAATGTCTCCACTGAAACCATGCATGTTAATGTTTTTTAATACAATTTCTTTTTGTTTGTTAATTTGTATTATATGATTTGTATTATTAACTTTTGAAGATGAGTGAGTTTAAAGCTGGGCCTGAATTGTTGTCACCAAGGGCATCCTCCTTTGGTAATACAAGAAATTCCAGTTCCTTCTTCTCCACTTGCTCCTCTACCGGTAAGTTTTTATATATATATATATATATATATATATAAAATCAATGGCCGTACGTACGATTACAACATGATTGGATGTAAATCAAATTACGATTCTCTATAACCATATTTCCATTTATTTCATATAATATAAACTAATAACGCACGTGCAGATTTTGATCAAGCATCGTCACCGACAACGTTGGAGACACCGAGGGAAACGGGGCCCGTAGTTCTTCCAAACATCCAGAACGCGAAGAGAAAAAACAAGAAGAAGATCAAATCTTCGTCTACGTATACGACAACAGGGAGTTTGAATTAGACGAATTTATGCGTGGTTTTTGAAAAAAAATGGAATATACACACAAGCCATTGCCATTATCATCATTTCTTCATTTTTATTTTTTTTTGTGAGACAATTTGTAGAGATTGGAATTTGAGATTGTTTCATGTCCTTTTAGGAAGACTTGTATAGAAAAAAGAACGAATATATTCTGTGTGGAGTTTATTATTTATTTATATATATATGTATATATATGTATATATATATAAGTCCGGCCGAACCGTTTAACATCACTACTAAACCGGCATGTAAAAAAACGATATTTACACACGAAAAAGATGGATATACAATGCATTATTGGGCCGAGTACATATTGGGCTCTGATTTGAGCTTTTCTCGGCCCAACTCAAATTAATGACGTGGCTTCCGAATCTTTGTGAGTTGTATTTAATGTAAAAAAAAAAAAAAAAATGTAACGTCTCGTTCCTTTCACAACAGAACAATTGTAATGCATACTACTAAATTCTAAATGAATTTAACAATTATTCCTTTATAAAAAAAAATATATCACAGCCGTCCAATCTTCTAAAATCTCAACGAATATTCAAATGATTTCAAAGGTTGAAACAAAAAATCATTTTGACATATATAAATATATTATGTTCATTTTTACTGGTTTTCCAATCATAGAATCATCAACCAATTAAAATAAACACGTGCTACAATAAGTTTAATAAATTTTGAGCATTTTTATAATTAAAAAATATTCAAAATATATACATTCTAACGCTTTATATTCTTCGAAAAAAATTTAATCATTGTCCAGAGTTTCACATATCTTGTGGTAGCAAGCTTTGATCTTGTTGATCAATATTTTATTTAAAATTAACAAAACCATAATTACTTCCAAGAATAAACTGATTATATGTATATTTTTGTTTTATTATTTAATTATTGGGCCCCATGTATATGGAGCATGTGCACATCACTCCCCTTTCTTTCTACATTGACTTTTAGGTTTTCAACTTTTCATATCATGTTCCACTTGGATTTTGTTCATAAAAATAAAAACAAAATTCATCACTCTCGGACGACAATTTCGGTTGGCATCGGCAATATCTGCTTTGAATATTTTATTTATTTATATTGCATTTTTGTTCCAACTAATATTCGACAAGTAAATTTATATAATCTTCCTCTATTAGGAGCATCTGCATTATTATATACCACATGCATATCTCATCATTTTTATTTATATATTAAATTGCTCTAAAATATCATATTCCGAGAAAAAAAAACACATATTTTAAAGGAGTATTGATTGTTGATTATTTTCATATTACTACATGTGATACACAATTTTTCAAAAAAAAAGTATCAAATTTGAATATATATATATATAGTTAAATAAAAATATTATATGATAAGTTAAATTAATAAATTTTTTAACTCTTTGACAATATATATATATATATATATAATTTCTATTTTGTATTGATTTGAAGGCATTGAATGAGCTTAGTTGGTGGGTAGCAGTCGCATTCTTTCTCCCCCACTAGCTATGATTGGGGGATGCCATCCCTAACGTTTGCTGCTCCTCCTCCGTTCACCTACTTGCCCCTCCTCATATTCATTCATTTTATTGATTCTCTCTCTCCATCTCCCACACATCATGACGTTTCTCTCTAAGCATATCGAATTACTTGCCGTTCCTCCCCCATTTGCTGCTTCTCTGTTTCTCGAATGAGCACAATGCGTGCCGCCTCGGTAATTGCATTGGGGTTTTAACCCTAATAACCCACTTGGGTCGCAGCAATTTCAGGGTACACCACCGAAAAAAAAAAAAAAATTTGCGACCTTATTACGACTAATATATAACTAATATACAACTAAAATAAGAGTAGTTTATTAGTCGTAATAAGTTGTATATTAGTTATATATTAGTTGTAATAAGGTCGCAAAATTTTTTTTTTTTTTCGGTGGTGTACACTGAAATTGCTGCGACCCAAGTGGGTTATTTGAGTAATATTCCCAATTGCATTAGCATCCCCGGACCGCGGATCTCTCTGATTCAAAACAACACGTCGTGCAATAAACTCGAACAGGGTTAAATTATTGCCAATATATGCTCTCTTGTTATAAGATTATATATTACAAATTATATTGATTTATGTATTTATATGTGAAAAATGTTCACAAGAAACAACTTTTTATTGTACAAACTGCTAGACTTATCATTCATCAAACACATTCACACAAGAGTTTTTTTTTTCGGTAAAAGTTCTTATAAGAGTTTGAAGATAATGTCGGCTCTTTCCTTACGATATAGAATTATTTTCTTGAAACCCAATTTGTACGATTCATTAGTTGCACCAAATATATAAATTTAATTACAAAGTATTGGATTTCAATTAGATATCATTTGTTGTCGTTTCCCCATTATTAGAAGACTTTGTCTTTGGGTTGGTTTATTTTCGGTTATTGATTGTATTTCGGTTTGCTTCTTATTTTGGTTTAGAGGTATTGGTTTATTAGTTTTTGGTTTATCGAGTCTGTATAAGACTTCAACTTTTCTTTCATTTTGAATACAAGAGAAAATTCCCAAATTACTGTTTCCGCTCTCTCTCTCTCTCGAATTCTTCAGATTTCAAAACCCATATAAATAATCTTTTTTTAGACGATTTCAATTATGCGAACTCTACTAAATTTTGTAACTTAGTATATACACGCACTCAAAAGAATGAAGGTACAATTATAAATTTGAATCCAATATCATTCCAATCGGCTTCGATCGAATTGAACGATGCCTTTTAAAAAAAACAACAGTAAGCATTTGGAGATATTTGACGCCGACGTCAAGATTGCATGATGTTGATATATCATATGCTGGTATTTATATCCTATATAACCGATGCTTTAATTTTTAATTTGGCCATTTCTTCGATATGGTTCAGTTGCGCAAAATCAATGATATACATTTTGAATCAACGTTCACACACATAGATAGAGACAGGAACATTCATAAAGTATATTTTGTCGTTTTCTTGTTGAATATATATACATATATATTGTGGTTAAAACTAAGAAACCCCACACCTTACTTGAAGGCTCAAATAGACCACGTCATGAGGGAATCTTGTTGCCTCCAAGATATTGACGTTCTCGTCAATATAAAGCAATCTTAATATAAATTTATCGTGTATATATATCGATGTGTCACCCATGTTTTGTAATCCGTAGGAAGCATCTATATCTCTGTGTGTTATATGCATGTGTATATACAGGTGTATAATTGTATATCATGTAACGTACGTTTCGACATATGAGCTGGTTTCTTGAACTATGCATGGCCCACAAAAGATACGCTTCCCAACTGTATTAGTCAATCGAGAGGCCGTTTTAATTAACATAATTAAACGAACCATTAATATATATATACATATATATATTTCTATGACCTTTTATTCATTTGTGCTCTTTTGTTGGCTTTTACTTTGCAATTGAATTCATCTCTTTCCTTTGGTGCTCGAAAGTGGGTCCAGTCACCTTTTTTTGTCCCATATTTCGATTAAAACAAAAATGAGGTCTTGTATTTTAAACTCATATATATATATATATATATATATATATATATATATTTATTTGTAAAGGTTTAAAGTTATTTAAGTTACGGTAGTAATATGCAAAAGTGGTCCCGGATACACATGCCCTAACATTATCCATCACACGTATGCGAATTCGAAGATATGAATGGACTGACCAAATCATATTTAAGAGTTATATCAGTTGGAGAGAGAGAGAGATCAATATACAAAGCATTTATACATTTGGACATGCATGCATGTACAGTGAGAACACGCATCTATTTGGAATTAATTAATCGCGTCTAAACAAGAATAAATATTTAACAAAAAAACATGATACATATGTGTGTATATATATGATAGTTGTCTTATATATATGTCTTAAGAGTGAAAAACTGAAAGACAAAAAGAAAGAGATCATGGTATGCCAAATAAAAACACATGAGGACGCAAAGTATAAGTCAAGAGAGATCCTTTAGAGAAATTTACAACGCACAAAAACTTCGGCTTTGTAAAAACATGAGTTGAAACTCTCTCTCTCTCTGATCTCTCTCTCTCTCTCTCTGGAGCATTAATGGAGGTTTCCAAAACCATAAATGCAATTGCACCCTCTCTATGCGCTCCGCAATAACTCCGTTTACTGCCACATCCTCAAACGTATGCTTCCTTCGTCGTCTTCTTCTTCTCTTCTTCTTCTTCACAAGTTTATCTTTCCATATCTCCAGAATCCATTCCCTCTCTGGGCTGAGAAAACCATAAACCGGGTTTTCCGGTGTCCGGCCGGTTATCCGGAACCATACCGACCAAACCCTTTTCCCGGTTTTCTTGTTGGTAGCAAGACCAGAGAAGCTGAACCACAAAGGAAAGAAATCCAGAGAAAGCCTGAAACTAGGGTTTCTTGTTCGGGAGTTTTCAGCTCAGCCCTAATTTTTCTTCTCCCCGATAAGGTCTCTCTCTCTCTCTATATACATATATGTATACATATATATTATGTATATACCTAGAATATGATACAAAATATTCCAGATTTTTACAGATCCAATCGGATCTATATTGCATGATGTAGAATCTACCATTGCAAAGGTTTCCATTTTTCTGTTTTTGCTTTCTGAATTTTTTGTCTTTTTACGAAGAAGATAATGATTTAGTAAAGCGTTACAGAAAACTCTTTGGAATTGGAATTTTAAGGGGTTTGACGAAATCTTCCTTGGTGTAATGTGTCAAAAAGAGCCTTGACTTATTGTCAACTCATTAATTAAGCTAGCTATATCCCTCCACACATTTTATTAATCTTAATTAACCTAATTTTTCAATTATTTTTACTAGAAACGGTCCATTGTGGCACACATAGACCAAGGTCAATTTGATTCTTTAAATTCTAAAATTCGAAGTTTTTTGTCAAAAAAAAAAACGCTACGAAATCCTTTCTTCTTTGCTTTGCAATTTTGATTGGTGATATTTTTATCCTTTTTTGTTTTGTTTGTTTAAAAAAATAAACCCCAAAACGTCAACAGAAAATAAAAAAAAAATCTCAATGACAAAGAGATCTCTCTGTCTCTAGGGTTTTGAAATTTTCTTACACATCTCCAGTTTGGATCTGATCCATTATAGTATTGGATTACAAAAGTGTATATATAGACACACACACGTTGTTTAGTTTGCTAGCTTAGCTTAGCAGCTAGGGTTTCGTAGAGACTTTATTACCGGCATCGTACCCGGTCTTCTTCTTCTTCTTCTCCATCTCCATCATCATCATCATCATATATATATATATATATATATATAATATTTCTCTTCTCCTGCTCCACCCCCGACCAATTTTGATGATAGATCCGATGTTGCCGAGTCAAGATTGATCTGTTCTTATTTGCATATACACACTCACAAAAATATGCTTTTGTGTATATGGTAGTGTATCGTCATCAAATGAACAGGTGAATGAGAATTTTCTAGGGAAAAATTAGTTTTCCTCGTCTTTCTCTTCCTCTTTCTTGTTAATCATCCGATTTTTACACAAATCTTTGATTGTATTCATTCTTGTTCTTAGCCCTCATGTTTTTATATATATATGTTCTTCTTTTTGTTCATCTTTCTGTTGACACATGAATTCGTATTTGTGTTTCTTCCCCTCTTGTATGTCATTTCAATTTCTCAATGCTTCATTCCCCTTTTTATTATAGTGGAATACATGTGCGTTGCGTATCTATATGTGTGTGTATATATGGGTAACTATATACGTAAAAGCTAAAGATAGTGAGAAGAAAAGGGCCATTGTATTTCTTTACCATGGATTGTGAAAAGGGCTAAAATCATATATTTAAAAAAAAATATGTGAAGTTGCATAAGATGTAGAGATTACATTCCTTATCACAAAGATTTTCTTCCATTTCCGCTTTGATCCTCATGGTCATGCATATATTCTCCTATATATACATGGCCATTTTGACATATAAATCTTTGGCTGATTTGATTTCTTTTCGTTTTGTTTTTGGGCAATGGAAGATACTTGTCGGGGAAGAGAATCAAGATTTAGATCAACACAGTTTCACTACTTCATTGGAGGCCTGAAGAGATACCATCAATCATCATCACCATCATCAATCAATCAATCATCATCATCATCATGTATCATCCAAACATGTTCGATAGTAATCATATATTCGATATGACACCAAAGAGCTCAGACAACGAGTTGGGGATAAATGAGAGCAGAGAAGAAGATTTGGAGGCGAAATCCGGCACGGAGGTCACAACAGATAATCCCTTAGGGGAAGAGCTTCAAGACCCGAACCAACGTCCCAACAAGAAGAAGCGTTACCACCGCCACACTCAACGCCAGATTCAAGAACTCGAGGCGTAATCAATCAAAACAAATACTACTAATAATCAACTTTGGATTTGATTATTCAGTTTTTGTTCTTTCGGATTTAGGGTTCATATGTTGTCTTGTGTTTTTCAGGTTCTTTAAGGAGTGCCCTCATCCAGATGATAAACAAAGGAAAGAGCTGAGCCGAGAGCTCGCGTTAGAGCCTCTTCAGATTAAGTTTTGGTTCCAAAACAAACGCACCCAGATGAAGGTATATATATATATATGTATATGTCATTCTGAACAAAAACTATGCATAAACCTTAATCATTTTTAATCTTAAACAAATTATTCAATCTTAATCCTTCTTAAGCATGTTAAACTAACAATGTTATTGGTCTTAATTAGTCTAACATCCAAAACTTATGGTTTACTTTGTCTGTTCTTGAGTTTGTGTTAAAACAATCATTTGATCTTGCCATCTGTTTGATGAGAACATCTCATGTTTTTTGCCATGGTATTGGACATAATCTTGCAAGATCATTTTGCAGTCTGTGTTGAATGTGGTGATTTCATGGGAGTTATATAATGTTTATAACGTTGATTCTGCTTATATAGGTCCTACATTTTGATGAGTATATGTGTGTGTATATATACGTACAGGCACAACATGAGAGGCATGAGAATCAGATACTGAAGTCTGACAACGATAAACTCCGAGCCGAGAACAACAGGTACAAAGAAGCTCTCAACAATGCATCTTGCCCTAACTGCGGTGGGCCCGCAGCTCTGGGGGAGATGTCCTTCGACGAACAGCATCTGAGGATCGAGAATGCTCGTCTCCGCGAAGAGGCAAGTAACTACAACAGTTACAGATTTACCTTGTCTGAATCCAAATCTTTGATCTTACAGTATCATATTGTCTTGTGTTTATACATCTTACAGATCGACAGGATCTCTGCAATTGCTGCAAAGTATGTTGGGAAGCCATTGGCTTCATCTTATCCTCCTCTTCCGTCCCACGTTCCTTCGTGCTCACTCGATCTTGAAGTCGGGAATTTCGGGAACCAAGCGGGATTTGTAGGAGAAATGTATGGGACCGGAGACATTCTCAGGTCAGTTTCGATCCCTTCTGAGGCAGATAAGCCTATGATTGTCGAGCTTGCGGTTGCAGCCATGGAGGAACTTGGCAGAATGGCTCAAGCCGGTGAGCCATTGTGGGTTTCAGCCGAAAACTCGGCCGAGATTCTCAACGAAGAAGAATACTTCAGAACGTTTCCGAGAGGAATCGGACCGAAGCCTCTAGGAATGAGATCAGAAGCGTCGAGAGAATCAGCTGTCGTGATAATGAATCATATCAATCTAGTAGAGATTCTCATGGATGTGGTAATCGATATTTTCGCTTCCTTCATCACAAAATACATTTGTTCATCGCCATTGGCTGAAGCTTCTGCCTTTCTTTCGATGGCAGAATCAATGGTCTTGTATCTTCAGTGGAATTGTTTCAAGGGCATTGACATTGGAAGTTCTGTCAACCGGCGTTGCAGGAAATTACAACGGAGCCCTACAAGTGGTAACATTTTAAAACTGTCGTCCAACTGGATTACTTGCGTCACAAGTTATTATAACAGCTGTTGTAATGATCGATCCTACGTTCCTGGGATCGTTTTTTTTTCTGGTTCTGCAGATGACAGCTGAGTTCCAAGTCCCGTCCCCGCTCGTTCCGACACGGGAAAACTACTTTGTGAGGTACTGTAAACAGCACGGTGACGGTAAATGGGCAGTCGTGGATGTCTCGTTGGACAACCTACGACCAAGTCCGATCTCTAGATGCAGAAGAAGGCCCTCTGGTTGTCTGATTCAAGAATTGCCAAATGGTTACTCCAAGGTAAGATGATCGCGCTTATATACAGGAGCTCAATTGACTTTGGAAGAAGTATGGGGTAGAAATTTGAAATCCTGTGAACTAACGGGGTGAGATTTTGTATGTTCTGGTTTTTGTTGTATGGCATTTATGAAGGTAATATGGGTTGAGCATGTGGAAGTGGATGATAGATCGGTTCACAACATGTACAAACCATTGGTTCAGTCCGGTTTAGCTTTTGGGGCGAAACGTTGGGTCGCCACACTTGACCGCCAGTGCGAACGGCTCCCCCGGAGATATTGACGTTCTGGAGATCTTTCCGGTAAGATAGAAGTACATCCAAATTGATAGCTGTGGAGGGTTTATTTGAATAAATTTGAACAAGTGGGGCTGAATTGAAAACTATAGAATTTACTGATCGGTCCCTTAATTTCTGGGAACTTGTTGGAAAGTGATAACGAGCCCTGAAGGGAGGAAGAGCATGCTAAAGCTGGCGGAGAGGATGGCGATGAGCTTCTGCAGTGGAGTCGGCGCGTCGACTGCACACGCTTGGACGACATTGTCGGCGACAGGTTCCGACGATGTCCGGGTCATGACTCGGAAGAGTTCTCGCCTCCGGGATCATCTCTATTGAACATTCCCC